CATACCGGTCCCTGGCTTCTCTATTTAACGTGTCCTGGTAATTTCCAGATCCTTTTCGGGATTTTAACATCTTTTTTTTCTCTCGCAGCGTTGTGTCGGAGCTGCGCTTTCAGAGTGATGCTACCGGAGCTACGGTATAAGAGCTATGCTATCGGAGCTATGCTATCAGAGCATAGCATTCAACATGGCCGCCACGTCACACAATGCAACGCGGATCCTGAGCCATATTAGTTGCATTGTAAATTCTTCCCACGGTTGATTGACGTTCGGTACCGTTGCCTAGCAACCAACATTCTACCTAGAACTCTTTGGCTAATATGGAAAAAGTGGCGTTCAGAAGGAATCTAACAGCGAAACAACTTTAGAAATGCTTCAAAATATCGATGATGGTGATTCGGGCGGAGGGGAACAGACCGATGAGTTGGACTGGGTAGGAAGCGGCTCAGATTCTGACAGCGAGTCCGAGGATGATCAACCATCCCTGAGAAAACGCAGATGTATCAGACAATAGTAAAATTTTGTTCCAGCACTGCCCACACCTAAGCCGGTCCACTCAGCGGCCCAAAGCCAAACCGGAGCCCGTAGTCTACTATTACCACACACAGGTCGGGCTGGATGTTTTGGATCAGATGATTAGAAAGGATTCTGTAAAATCTCCAACGCGAAGGTGACCTGTGGCTGTAATTTATAATCTCCTGGAAATGTCAGCTATAAACGCTTTGGTACTGTTCAGGAGCTGTGTGATTATATTTTTTTTACGCAGAGATTTTATCCTTGAACTGGTAAAAAAGTTGCAGACAAACCGCAGGTTTCCAGCCCCCGCAGTAGAGCAGCCTGGACGGGGCACAGAAAACTGTGGCATGAGCTTCAGCGCTGCACAAAAAAACAAGCATATTACGTTTGTCATACATGTGAAAAGATGGTCTGCGGGAAATGTTTCGGGGGAATCATTCAATTTATGTGAATAAAATTGAATGATTCTGTTGTTCTAATTATTTATTTAATGTTTGGCAGGTCTTATGTGTGTATGCATCAAACCATCAGTTGTGCATACACACTGCAAAGCTGTGTATAGATTTTTTTTGTAAAATGCTACATGTGTCATACATGTTTTTTGCAGCTCAGTTTTACGTTATATCTCTTTATTCACTTGGACAGTTTGATCATTAATGGAGTTATGTGGGTTTTCATAAGCTGACTAAATTTAAAAGGATTTATGTTAGAGCAACAAGCAAGCATGTTTTCTATGCAACTGTAATTGTCACTTGAATAAGTTATGATCAATAATGAGTTATTTAACATTAAAGAGAAGTTAAATTTGTTTTACATTTAATTACATTTAAAAGTTACATCTGGCCCTTTAAGGACAGCCATTACACTGATGTGGCCTCAGTGAAAATGAGTTTGATATCCCTGCTCTAGTTGCTTGGTTGTAGCGACTCTGGACACACACAGTTATAGCAACTGAAACACTTGTTTTATCAGGTGCCAAACCAACTGGGCCAGAATACGTACCTACCTTATTTCCTAATCTAAGTTCTCCAACAAGCAAAGGAGGATTTATCCAATGGCCAGATTTGAACACACTCAGGCTCTAAAAAGCAAAAAGATTATTGCTGACGGAGGAGCAACAGGAAAGACTGGAGAAGACAGAAGGTGAATGACATTAAACTATTTATTTTACAGCTTTAGTTTGGCTGAAAATATCAGAGAAAACATGGAAAAAGATTGTTTCTAATTTATATGAAACCAGATAAAGAAACACATTTTTACAATCCATGAGGTTTTTATTGCTGCC